ATTCCTCTTCTCGATTAGATTACACGCATCAGCTAAAAATATTTCCCCCCGGGTGCGACGCTTTTACTGCGCAAATTGATCGAGGCCGCGAATAGTTGTCGCATTTAGCGCAGAATTGCGAGGCAAAATAAAAGGGGGGAAATAGTTTTAAAATTTTGAAAAGATATATACAGTATATTGTCATTGAATGTATGAGGCTGAGGAGTCTAATGCAGGCGGGCGAGCTATTTCAAAGTCAAAGTTATTTAGAACCAAGCAATATTTCCACAAGTGGAATTGCCTGTAAAGTGCAAGCAAGCAATCCACAACCATTGATGACTTCAAAAATGCCATCTGATTCATTGCTCATCAAAATAATCAGTCCTGGCATAATTTGTTCAAATACTTTTGGAAGCTCAACAGTTTGAAGCTGAAGCCAGGGTAACTTTTTTGAACATAGTTTTCATGCAGTAGTAGATTAGATAAGTGTTCACCAGCCCATGGTCCGCAAACCAGCTCTGGTCTGCAGAAGTTTTTTGTCAGTCTGCAGGATATTTTCAGTAAAATAAATGTATCAAAAGTAACAATCAAGTGTCTGTTATGCTCCTCTGAAATTTTGGAGATAAAATGTCAGCTAAAATTATCTTTTCAAAAAAGTTGAATTTTCTTCTATAATTACACTTCAGACAAATTTTCACCTGCTGAAATAAATTATTTTAATTTTTTTATTTTCAAAAACTTTCTTCACGCTGAACTTTCTAATTTTTTGTTTACTTTCAATTATAGCTGCTTCATTGGTGCTTAATTTAATTTTTAGTAAGAAGCAGAAACTGTTCAATTACCTGCCATAAAGTCTTTCAAGCACAACTTTTTTGAGTCTGCCAAAATTTTGTGAAACTTTGCCAGTCTGCGGAAATATTTTGGAAATTTGAAAGTCTGCAAACAATTTTATGGAAATTTGCTGGTCCACAGGCACAAAAAGGTTGGGGAATACGGGATTAGATATTTCAAGTCTATAAATTTCACATAATCTTGTACATCAAGGATGAAAATGACTTTACATGGCATTTCAATTTGAGCACAAGTACAAGATTACTGGTGGTCCTTCAACGTGCAACCAGCCTTAATCATTCAATGTTTCTAAATCTTTGCATAATTTGTATCACGATGCCCAGGTGTGGCTGTGCACCCCCTTCTATACATATGACCTGCTCTTAAAAAGCAAATTTTTTCTCTCTAAAATCTGTCCAATGGCCAGGTGTGGCTGGGCACCACATGTTGTTCAGTAGTACAGTAGATTATGTCAGGGGCTATTAAGCCTCTCAGACAAAGATTTGAACTTCACTTATGGTCAGTGAAAGAAAGGTATAACACAATCAGCCGTTTGCGGCCTGAGGTCAATACCTCAACTTCAAGTTTGAATATATTATCATCTTCTGGAAGAAGATGGATTTCTTTTTCTCGAATCTTGTGACGACGTGGCGTTTTCGTACGCCGCGTCGAATTTTCTTTTCCTGTTTGTTCCTCTGACTCGGGCGACATCTAGTCGTCCCGAGGAAAGCGGCGTGTCAGCGGGCGACATCTGTTCGACCCGTGACAGATTAGATGGTCCAAGTCTCAAAGCATCACATACATGGAAGGTTGACATTGACTTTACTTGACATTGCAATTTTAAATTTGCAACTTACATCAAATTATATTACAGTATTTTGCACTGCTCTTCTCCAAATAAATATTTTCTGAATATTCTAAATACATTATTCAAAAACATGAATAGGTCACAAAGTATTGCAGGTATCCTTGGCTCCACTTTATTAAACAGAAAGTACAGTATTTAACATTTCATAAATTGAACTTACTGTATATTGTATTTCAAGCATTTTAGAGAGTCTGAGACTTGACACTTCGTGGAGCTGATTAATTTGCATTTATTCCATTCTTTCTTCTCTGATTTGTGTCTTGCCTTAGAAATGTAACATGTCGCCACAGAAAAGAATAGGGGTAAAATCATAAAAATATTTACTTGTAAAAAAAAATCCCGATTTCCAAAAAATATTTTTCAGGGATTCTTCTTCGAAATTATAATTTCAAGAAACAATACATGGAAAATGACTCATAAAAATGAGAGCAAGGCGGCATTAAAGAAAGGTTTGTGAGAGCCAGATGTGCGCAGCTGAATTCCAACAATCTAACCCCCGATTGCTCGCCAGGGGTCGAAAAAAAGAGCGAGGGGTTTTCTCCCTCTTATCGATCCACCAAGAACGGCAGTTGGCCCGAGTCAGGCCAACTGGGGTGAACACGAGCGCGTGGGGGTCGTCGCGTGAACCAGTCTCTCGTGGAACAACGGGGGGTTTTGTCAAAGTTCACATTTCCCAAAACCTGTCTGCTAATTTCATCCATCAAAAAATATTTCTAACCCACATATTTTCTATTTACAAGTATGCCTCTAGCAATACACCACTTGAAGCAGTAGATCAATTCCATACAAAGTTGAAAGCTTTTTTTTTTATCTATCCATGAGTTCCTTGCAATTGATGATCGTTTTAACAATTTAGCAGACTTTATCATGATTGAAAGAAGGAATATATTCTCAAGACAATCGACGGGGGGCTGGTGCTTCTAGAATCTAGATGCTCGTCGAATATTAATTTTTTTTTTCAATCCAGAATTATCTTTACAATCAATGCTCGTGGTTATTTTTTGAATCTTATTTCAGAGTTTGATGACTGAGTCGAATACATTTTCGAACAAGGATATTCCAGCAGAGAAACTTTGTTTGAAATTAGGAATCAATCGTGAAGATATTTTTCTAGGCAATAATATTTTTCTACATTTTCGAAATTCATTTCCTCAAAATTGTGAAATAATTTTGTTGTTGTCAACAATCGGTACTTTCCTTTCTTATATTCTCATGTCTCTGCTGTGTATTTGTTATTCAATTAAATTTGTTTTCGTAGAGAAGATGCAGAGAAGCATACGTCTGAGCTTTTTGGGATTTATTGAATTGTCGTAGATTAATTGCAGTACATTGGTAATCATGGTAAACTCCGCGAAGAAATTCGAATTCACCCCTCTTGAAGTCAAAAGTTTAAAGAAAGAAGTTTTGCGAGGTTGCCGAGTTTTGCAGAGTCGACGCGACAGCAGAGCTTCAACAATGGAAAATGGGAGCCGGGAATTTTCGAACCCCCGGGCCCCGGGGGTTGCGTCAGCGAGCCGATGCCGTTCCGGTGCGCGAACCGACGCTTCCGCGCGCGTGCCGAAGCGCGCGGACCAGGATCAGCACCCCTCTTCCGGCTTCCGTTTCCGGCCACGATCCCTCATGGTGAATGCCTGACAATTGTTTCTATATGCATCGGCACATTTTCAATCTTTCTTTTATTTTTAGAAAATTACTTGGAGCACTTTGAATAAAAACCACTGCTGTTATTAAACCTCATTTTTAGTACTGTATATCATTTGGCATTTAAAAAAAAAAACCTCCTTCACACGAGATATGGCTTCTGGACGCAATATATTATTGGCTTGGCAGGAAATGTGTCAAGAAATCGAGACGATTTTAAGGATGATAATACTGCTGTAGTCGACTGGTGTTCCTTGCGATGAAGACGTCTCCACAATTCAATCGGAGTTATCATTTGTAAACTCATCTTTCGAAGCTATTTTGGGAGAATTTGATTTATAATCTTCAAAAAAACATTCTGGTATAATAACTGTTTCGTCATTGTGTCTTCACGCACAGACAGTGAGAAACAATAAATCGTACAACTGGCTATGTTCAAAGTTCGAAGACTCCTCTTGATTATCACATCACGGGTTCCACCAAAAAGTTCTTTACTATTCCTGCCTTCTACTTACAAATCACGAGTTATATTTTGTTTGAGAGATACAGTATAACTAATTGCAAGGTAACTTTTCACCACGATACTGTATCCAAGGGACCAGAAAATAAAGTGTATAACAGAGACTCTCTTCAGAAAAAAGGCCCAATTTTAAACCACATCCCACGCAATGAATCCCTCACACATGGAATGTGCATTAATCTTATAAAATAATGCGTAAAATATTCAAGTTAGCCATATCCCACATAGAAAGCATCGCTTCTCATAAAAATGCCGTTACTTCCTAATAATAAACACACCGGTTTTTTTGTCAATTTTATCTTCTGGGGAAAGTGCCCAATTTCGTACCTTTTGATTTTGTTCAGTTCATTCTGTACTGTTTCGCGGTCAAAATTGAAAGAATCCCGCAGAAAAAATCCTATCTAATTGACTTCAGATCTCCAGGTAAAAAATTACTTACAGTGAATCGTGGGTCACTTTGTCTTTTCTCCAAAGATTACTACATTTATTTACCAGCAGGTGGACCACATGAGCATTTTGAACTATACCTGCATACTGAAATCCTAGAGAACATTACTTGTTGTAACATTTTTCCATTTGCCATCATAGACTGCTTTCAAGGATTTCGTTGAGGTACGTACTTGTACATATATAGTTCTTCGCCTCTGTCTGACTTTCTTCCTGATATTTTCGAATATTTTTTCAGCAGCGCGCTCTAATATTTTTTTTTTCGTTTATCTGTTATCCAGTAATAAATATGACTAATGATATAATAAATCTGCATGTAAATGGTATTCAACAATTCCACATGTACCCCAGATCCTCCACGGAAACTGGGAAAATAAATCCGCAATCAGCTTAAAAGGGAAACACGCTTTCCAACTGCGGTCAAGGGCGTATATAAAGAACCTAGGTTTACAAATAAGAAACCGACGCACTTCCGGGAAGCCCTTATTATTGGAACGCCGTGGCATATCTCGGGGCTCGAGTACGCACGCCGTCAACAAATCTCGGGTGCAGTTGCACTCGAACTTTCGTTGCAAGATCTCGAGTTCAGACGCGGAGTCCACTCATCTTATTCAACAAGAGTACAATCACATCTCAAGATATTCAACACGAGTCCCGCAATTTCCGCGGAAGGTTCGATTGTATATAGTAATACTGCATGTATAGCACTGTACGATGCCACGAGCAATCCAAGTGAACCCCATCAACGCCACAATTTCTGCGGTGATTTCAGTGCTGATTTACCTTCCGTTAGTGTTGTGCGGGTTCTTCCTGAGAAGCATTGTCCGAGCCATCACGAAATGCAAATTCGGTCGACAAGCAGACGTCACATTTTCTGGTGACTGTACAACTATTGTCAAGGGCATGCGCAATCCGGACTCCCTGCTCGCCGCCATCATACATTGCGAAAACGAGCTGTCGTTAGAACAGCTCAAAGAACGCTTTCGTGAAAAAATCCTGGACGTCAGAAATCCGGACGGTTCCTGGTTGCATCCGAAACTCAGGTCCTCGTTCATATACTTCCTCAACTACTCTGTGTCAGTACCGTACCAGGACTTTGATTCGGATCAACATTTTGTGTACTTGATGGACAAAAACGGGCAACCGTTGGTGTGCCGCAGTGACCAAGACTTGGAAGATGCCATGGAAAAATCTTTGAACACTGATGTTCACCCGGACCAGCCTCTGGTTCCGAAATGGATATTCCGAGTTTGTTACAAGCAAGATCAAGGATCAGTTCATACTTGCATCATTATGCATTTAGACCATAGGCTTGCTGACGCAGGAGGAATTTTGCTCGCGCTGATGCCAAAGTTTTTAGATGAGGATCTGAAGTCGGATCCAAGTGTGATGTTCCGAAGCATGAGGCCAGTGAAACTGTGGCAAAGGCTGATTTTGTATGCAAAGGGATTTCTCCTGATTCCTTTGGTTCTGTTGAGGACTTTGATGGTGGCTGTTGTGGACCGGAATCCACTTCATGACCGAGAAGGAAAACAACCCGGACGGTTGGTTGTTAAGCATGCTTAAGTTTACAGAGATAAATTGAGGAGGAAAACGAAAAGCAACAGTACAGTAAATATAATACACTAAATACAGTATTCCAGATCTGTCCTGAGGATTGAGGAAGAGATGAGCCGCATTATCAGTCTAGTTTTTACCCATTTCCGCGCGCAGGAAGTGAAAAAAGCTCATGATAGCAACAGGCAATTAGATTGCTGGCATTAACTTAAAATAGACATTTTTCATAATTCTACACAGTACCGCAATTGGAAGATGACACATGCCCGTTCCGGGCCTCTCCGGTTATACAGGTACTGTACTGTACAGTACTATCAACGTTAACTTTTCTACTCACTCTTGCGAAGACTGAACGCATCTATTTCTCAGATTGTCCCTATCGTCACCTAGGTGTCGTCTGTGTTGCAAAGCCAGTAAATAACCAGTACAGTACTGTACTGCAAAAAGTTGTACTCCCTCATTCACAACCATCCTGTCTGGATGATTTTACTGTACAATATTGTATAGCTAATTTTGTTGTTGTCAAGTTGGGCTCTCTCCCCATCGGTATCCTCCACAACGGACGTTTCTCTGGTACGTCCCTTGAATTCATTTCATTGTAGAGTCCACCTGTGCTAAATAATACATGCGCCTCGTCAGCAGAATTGAGGTTCAGACTAAATGCGATACAGTCACGTTATATTGTATACGGTTTCTTCTCCGTTCTTGCAATTTCACAGATTCTTTCTGGCTCCACAACACATTCCCATGAAGAAACTGCGGGAAATCCGAGTCAACACTGGAGCAACACTCAACACGATTCTTTCAGTAAGTCTTTTCCGCGGCGTGCACAGAATGTGCGAGAAAATAAACGACGGAAGCGGTCCCTTGAAACGATCATGGAACTGGACAATAACAGCTCCTATCAGTCGTTGGCTGCCTGGAGACAAAGTCGAACTGATTAACAGATCAACAGGCATCTTGTACGGCATGAACTCATCTGAAATATCAAAGAATGATCCCTTGGATGCGTTGGCAAAGGCCAAGTACGTGTTCGAGGATCCCTCAAAGAACGACTACGGCTGGGCAATGAGATTATTGGGCTTGACAATGTACAACTGGGTGCCGATGTACGTTAATGACTTGCTTTTCGCGAAAGGCGTACGAAATTACACGGGTGTGTTTTCGAATGTGAGAGGGAACGAAAGTGTTCAGCACATGATGGGGAATAAGATGATCTCCATGGTGCCTTACGTCAGCATGTGGGATAATTTAGGTGAGTTTTCGAGGTAGTCAATTGGTTTATTTTTGCTCTGGTCCCCACAAAAAAGATATGTTTAGTGCTGTAGACCTTATTACGATAGAGTTTATGGTCTATATTATCTGCGTACCATGGCTCCAAGATTTTATAAAAAATAAATATAAATAAATAAATATAAAAAATAAAAATTCTTGAACTGTCGACTTCATTTTTATGTGACTTCACTGATCTACGGCCTTGCTTATTGTTATTTATGTGGCATTACAGTGCTTTTTGAATCGTACATATGAATGTGGACTCTGCTACAACAACTTTCTCTGTATAAGGAATTTTGTGGCCCATAATTACTCATTTTATGTATATAAGTTCTCTGTAGAAGTTATCTCGGCAACGAATTTTTTCTGGTTACATAAATTTTGTAGCAGAAAGAGTCGAACACCCGTTTTAGTACTGTACTTTACCTTCCTATGTTCCACTCTAAGAAGGTAGGGACAATACTGGACATACGTGTGTAATTGCTGGGGTCTCACATCATATACAGTACAGTACTGTATAATGCATACGGGAAATGTCCTCGAAATATGAAAAAATAAAAAAATTTCAAGGTTGCCCATGCTCTTTAAAAATTGGGGAAAAATTTAATGTATCAACAAAACCAGGGATTGAATGTTTCAAGTCAACTGTTCGAATTTATGAACGTTATTTATTTCATGGCGATCGCATTAAAAATATTCTTGCTCTATACTATGATCAGCAAACATACGATCAAAAATGTCATCATACTTCGAGCATTTGTCTAACGTTCAACACACAATAAAATATTCATATTGACGTCCTTGACATACTATTAAGACAGATGATTTGATTGAAGGCATATCACAGTACAGTATTCCATGAGTATTTCCTCGACAAAAGTAAAACTTCTGCAGTGCTGCTGTAAATTCAACTGCAGATCGAACATTGGTACAGTTGTGCGAGAAATATTTTGAGAATTGCACTCAACTGAAATTGTTTTACACTCAGCTTTTCACCATTTTTTTTTTTTACATTGATGCTTACTCATATATTTCCGTTCTTTTCCCTTAGATTACGGCATGGTTTCATTCAGCTATCATGATTCTATGACTGTTGCATTGGCTGGAAGAATCGGGTCTTTCAAGTCAAGAGAGGAACTCCGACAGCTCTGGCATTTCATCAAAGAAGAGATAGAAATTCTGCACGAGACAGCTGTCAAGAAAGTTTCATAATAATTTTTTAGGAGTGATAGGATTACAGCAGAAAGCAAAATAAACAGATTCGATTTTAATTTTTACATTTCTTTGAAGTTATATAATGAACTTAAAAGAAGAATGAATGATGACTAATGCTCCGGTTGAGCCACACTATATTGTGATATTGGAAGTTCAATTAATTCCGAAAGTAAAGTTACCTTCTCAATTTTACGCAAGAACAGTTGAATTCTTGAAGAAGCTAAAAATGTTGGCTGCACACGAAGTAATGGATAATCCCAACTGGAACGTTGATCATAAATGAACTACAGCACTGTATTCAAAAGTCAAAGGGTCCAGTTGGTAATTTTCATTTGCATATTTCATGGAAAATGCATCCTTTACCTTTAACAGGAATACAAATCAATAAGCTTTCCTGCAATAGTTCTCAAAATATTGAGAAAAATTACATGTATTTCACGTCGCAGTTTCCGAAAATTGTTTCAAAATTTATCTACGTTTTTTGATTACGTACGCCCAATTCTGGTTCAGTCGACGGAAAAAAGCGCCCTGCATAATTTCAAATTCATCAGCTTATTTTTCCCATTGCAAATTATGCTAATATAAGCCTCAAGAACACTCAGTTAACTTAGGTTTATTCAATTGTTTTCTACGATTAATATATCAAGTCCTGCTTGATAATATTGAAAGTCACCCAGATAGTTGAGTTTTGCTTCCATCAGGAATGACTCGCATTTCATCTACAGCAAGCTGAAATTCAAACCTTTGCTTCCTCAAATGTACGCGACATACAACAACAACAAAAACGATCAACACCCAATGAAATTCGCATTGCATTTCAGTGTAAATCGCCCAAAAAAATTGAAACCACTGGAAGGATTCCCGGAACTGCGAAACCAAACCCCCGCCCTTCGCGATACCCTCTAAACTGCCACCGCTCCACGCACAATAAAATTGCCATCTAAAGCCTTCAACTTTTCGCACCATAAAGCTTCAGAAGATTTCACGCAGTCCGAAATTTAAAAATGCTTTTCTTTCCGCCGCGTCCACCAGCCGGCATGGCAGCGTCGACGGCTTTTACGAAGTCTGTCAGATCGAACAATGTGTGTGGGGGCGGCTCGAGCCGACCTTGCCGCACTAAATTGCACAAAAAGGTCATCATTTTGTCAAATTCGCCGCCGTCGTCGCCGCGTTCTTTCATCATTCGGTCGTTCTCGGCTTTCCAACGCGTCATCCAGAAACCATGAACATTCACGTCGTTGAAGATGAGGAAAGACACAGGGACGGAAAGTGGCTGACGAGACATTCCGCCATACAGCACGAGGCTGGAACCATGGGCCATCATTTTCATCATGGAAATTCCTGATTTTCCTGCGACACAGTTCAAGCCAAGGCGAGGAGGGTTTGTCTTCAGTTGTCCTACATGAAAAGGCATTCTTTTCTGATTAAAAAGTCCTAACATTCAACTTTGATAGTCTAACACACTGCGAGCGAATAATACATTGAGCGCAATTTTTCGTGCATTCACATTGAGCACAATCACCTGATAAGAACTTCAAATCTTCGTCATGATCTTTCACAACAAAATCAGCTCCCAATGCTCGCAGTCTTCTGTCCACTTCGTCAAAATCCGGTCGGTCTCTAACGATGTTTGCAGTCTTCAAGCCCAATGCCTTGGCCACCTGGATCACTGCCTCTCCAACGGCGCTGTTGGCGCCATTTTGCAACACAACATCACCTTAGCCATAGAGAATTGGCAATATTACTTGCTCAACGCAAATATAGAACTTCATTCAGTTTTAACGATAGCATTTTTTGCGTCTAGAATCGTCATAGTTATAGCAATGTGATCTTGATTCAACAAAGAAAGTAAGAGGGGAATCTGCAGTCGGTATAAACTATTCAGAGAGGCTATTCAACTATGCAATGGAAGACCTTCAGGCTCCTAAATTACTGCATCATGAAAAGCGAAAAATTCTTTGGCTTCATCATCCACGAGAAACTGCAAGGAACAATGTCCAGCAGTTTATTTTTTTTTTTTTACATCATGAACCACGATTCAGCCCTTCTCCTGCTTCATTGAAGTCAGAATTCCGAGTGATGACTTTTTTCATGATACTCTGAGAAGTCTGGGTAAAACTGACTTAAAATGCGTCGAAAGACAAAAAGTAAATCTGCAATAATTCCAGTGCGCTGGAAAAGTTGAGGTCGAAGGAATAAAAAAAAATAAAATAAGCTCTTCAAACAGAATTCTTTACACAATTCAACCCAACTCGCGCTGAAACCAGAAAATCCCCGCACACAAAATCTAGAAGACAAAATGTTACTGTGGGTTACCTGGCCTTAGAGGAGAGAAATCCACAAGCATCCGATAAGCCGTGCAGGGATTCACGCTCAAGGTGGCCGCGGAAACCAAGTCCAGGTCTTGCGGAATCTTATGAAACGCGTTCGCATCCGCCCGAATGTGAGATGTCCACGTGCCCAACCCCGTTTTGCGAGTGATGACAATATCTCCGGAAGTGAGAGACGTTATCCGAGGACCGCAAGAAATTACACGAGCTACTGCTTCTGAACCAGGAATCGCAGGAAGTGGGGGTTTCACTGCGTAAACGCCTTGAATAGTATTGATGTCCGCCGGGTTAATGGGTGATGCCAAAGTTTCAACCACAACCTAAAAAAACATTTTCAAGGTATTGTACTGTACTTCTACAATTCAAAATGCCGTATCATACGAAGAAATCCCTGGGAAAATTGCTGATGTTTGTGACAACATTTATTCCGAAAAATTTTCGACTCGCACTAACTGAACGTCCGTTTCTAAAATTTTTACATGATAAAGGTAGCTTGTTGGGTAAATTATGGCCTTTCAAAACCTTATTATAAAAGCTCAAGGGGAAATCGAAGGTTTTGTCAGGGAGAAAATTTGATTTAGGATCTACAGAAGACCGAAGGATTAAGTGCACAAGGGAAAATATTTCATTGACGCAAGTTCTAAAACAAGTTACGACATCTGTTTCGGTACTACCTTGATACAGGTGGAACTCACACTCTTTCTCTACAACGAAATACAGCACTGTCAAAGGGAAAAAAATATTTGTAGAGAATCCTTTGGGATAAAAAAATCTTTAGGCAGAAAAAATTATAGAAAGGAGAGACCACCTTTACTAGATTTTTTGTACGTCAGAACATAAATACAGTTCATTTGTGCTGACTGATAGCGCACCCAAATCGCGATTTAGATTTTATTCTCCACAGAAGAATAAGCATTGTGTTTCACTCGTCAAATACTGCATGCGGGCAAGATACAAGGAAATTTTCACCGCATCGAACGGAAAAGAACACTACTGTACTAGTAAAACGGATATAAGGGCTTCTAAATTGAATCACACCGAACATGAACAGACCTCATGATCTCCAGGAACATCGACATCAAATTTGTCCATCTTCAGCACACTTCCAGGTTCTCCGGTAGCATCATACACTAATCTCGTCCCGGAAGCAACAAAAGTTGACGAACAGCGAACACATTTTCGAAAACTTAAAGGGGTTCGTGAGCCCAAACGCAAAGCTTGATTCAAAACCATCTTTTTCTTCCTAAAAATAAATGCAAAGCAACAGGATCAAAATGCTACAAGAATTCAATCCTAATCGCGGCATATCCAAGTAAGAAGAAGAAAAAAAAATTGACGAATAGAAGTGTAGCTGCATTTGCTCCTTGACTTTTTTCGCCGAAAGAAAAAAACGTAGGTTCAAATGAAAAACGTACAGTTTCAAAACAATCCTTTCGTCAAATTCCTCTTCATCCAAAATCTCCGTCATAATACGCGATATTTCAAGGAGTGTACGAAATGAGACCATCGAGCAGGGATGACTCTTTGCTGATTTTTCCATCATGATATTGTACACGTAGCTAAAGCACTGAAGACCAATTTACGAACGACAAGAAGTTCACATCAAGAATGACTACGATCTCTTCACTGGGAGATTCATAACTATCACATATAAATCGCTGAAGTTATGTGATTTTTCAACACTCAAACCTAGGATTTATATTTTTGAAGAAGAAAACTTGAATGCGCGACTATTCAAACTGGATATCAAGCTAGTCCAACGACGAAGAGGCTTCACAGATGCGCCGAGAGCCTCACATCAACAGCGCTTCCGATTCTTCACGACGCTTAGAATTCTCTGTCTGGGAACAGAACTGGGGCAACTCTAGACCAGATAAAAAGCACCACGCAGATCCATGATGATACAATTTTCACCCATACGGATGCCCAGTTCGACGACATTGATTTCAAGCTGGAATCAGGCCTGAAAATAAACAAGAATAGGTTTTTCAAACCATGAACCCTTTGGCTCACCATGGTGACAAATTTACCAGACGAAGGATAGGATTACTCACGAGTACCAATTGGTCAGGGTCATCATGACGTACAAGGTAGACAATGCGAACATTACATGAAACATGGACCAAGGATAAGAAGTGCCCTCCTCTTCATCGTCATATACTTGTTGACCTTCTTGTTTTCCACCACCACCTGCAAAACATTCAAAAATTAGGCCATACATACGGGGTCAATCAATACCAGTGCCCTGAGGATTAAGGTTTAGCATTAATTGTTTGGAACAGGAAAAATCGTCGCATTACTTCATATCAAAATAATAAAATCCTATTAAATTTGATCAACCCGAAATTCTACTGGTAAGATGGTCATACATATAGAAAAGGAACTCAAATTCAGATGAAAGTTCGGATAACGTACTGAATTTTAAAATGAATTAATCGAGGATGTACAGAATGTCTACCCCCGCTTAAGAAACCTGTCATTCTAGAAGTACTGTACTACACAATTCATGAAAATTTAACAGCAATAAATGAAGAATTTCTCACAGCACAATTACAAGTTACCTTTTCAGGAACCTCACATGAAAAATACGTACCACTTTCTCCATCATCTTTCGTAATGATTGATCCTACGCCGAGCTTAGCCGCTTGAGAAGCAGTCGAGTTACGAATGCTTGACCATAAGACGCACAAGAACCAGATCACCAAAGCTGGAAAACGACCAACTTTGAATGAATAATAACGATCTTCCCAAAAAAACTAACACTAAACTGACCAATAATGCTCTGAGTGTCGAAGTTCTTGCTGTCACATTTCGCGGTCTCTCCGTTGATCAGTGCAGAAAAGTTCAGCTTACATTCGCATTCTGAAAATAAAAACCATCAGCTACGGATTGGCATTTACGAGTATTCCGACAAGTAACTTACCGGGGCTATTAGACATAGCAGACCAAGTAAGATACATGACATAGAGGGAAACAAATGAAGACTGCAGAAGACCAGAGCCAGGCTTTTTCTCTTGCACGAACTTGTTCACAGATATGAGGCTCATAACAACACAAAGGATCATATTGAATGATATGAAGAACTTGTTCAGATGGCATCCTTCAGGCTAGCGGACGAAAATGAACAGAACAAGATAGATAAAATGACTAACGAAATGTCTGTCGTCAACTCACCGTTGTATAATATACGTAAAATAAAACAATGGCCGTTAAGGCCGAAGCGTACTGCAGCACCGTTGCTCCCATCAGCGCGAACGTCCTGAAGAAGTCAGTGATAATTTTTGTGTCACACGACGAAAGATTGTCTTGATTCTTACATTCATCAATTGCACTCACCAAGCTTTCGATGAGGTTTCCTCAAACTTTTCAATCCAATTTTCAGCCCATTTGTCGGCGAAGTCGATGATCAGCACGAGCTGGATTAAGATGAACAGGAATCCTCCAACCATTCCGATATACATCCACGAGATTCCGAAGCCAGTTTCGGGTATGAAGAAGGCGCCAACAACTCCTAGTATAACCAGCAAGTATTTCAAGCCCCAAAACCCATTTTGGATTGCAGCTCTTCCGTCACGAGATGACCTTCGAAATGGAAAATAATCGGAATGCATTCGACAGGTAAAATTTTCTGGATTCCGAAGAACAGTACCTGACGTTTATCATCATAACGGCCATTGCAGAGAAGAATAACGTGAGCACGAAACACACGCGATAAACAGCTATATATCCAACCACGCCATCACAGTCCAATTTTGTTTTTCCAGTGATTTCAGATATAATGCTGTCCGATCCATCTTTACAAAACGGAAGCTTTTTCAAATCATCTTGGAGTCCTGGTGCCATCATGATACAGCAGACGATCGTCACAACAACCAGCATCAAGGAATACATCATTCGTGTAGACGTTGAATTGGAACACGATGGACACACCGCGCAGCAAAGGCTACACGCTGCGCTGCCACAGCAACATGCTAGCTGGAAGTTAAAACGGAAAAGTTAAGCTATGCATGAGTAACTACTATATCATGTACTCACTTGGCTCACGGCAAACGGAGCAAGAACGGCTCCCATGCTGAATTAGTTCAACTGACCACCAAGCGTACCTCGCCCTTTAAAAAAACCGAAGTAATACAATCAGATTCAAGATCATTCACCCGAACTCGAAGAATGATTCCAAAGCGGCATAGTAACACCTTCCACTCTTCGTTCACAGGCAGTCGTTCTTCATATGACACAAGACTTTCAAAGCGGAAACGCGTTAAAATAATGAGGAGTTACGGGAAGTGCGCGGAAATTAGCTCCGGAATCTGCACGTTCCTCGAATTGAACACCTTGATTATCCGCTAAATACAGGTGAAAGTAAAATTTTAACTTTCAATTGAGGACGAGTGAAGGAACAACATTCCTGCCTTCTGCCTTGCAATTACGGTAATCTCTTTCTGTTCGGAAATCCCTTAGAATTTACGCAGAGGACGTTAGTCAACCAGTGTCGCCACGTGGTGGCGCTGCGTTTCCCTTGGAAAGAGTTAAACTGGGCATCAGCTGTTGCGGATGCAGTTCGGCTGTACCCCTTGAATTGTGATGTAAGATTTGTGGTTACCCGGTTTGTGCCGCTGAATCTCTGTGTGTAGATGTACTGTATTTGTTATCGTCAGAAAATTAGTGCCGCTGATTCTTTAATTTTTCCAGGTTTGATTTGAAGGAAAGAGAATGGATGATGATTTTATTTGCCTGGCAAATAAGTCGGCTCATGTATATGATGGAATCAAAAGTGCATCTGTTTCCAGGAGAAAGGGCGAGAAACCCGTTGGTGTTCCAATTGATACAAAATTAGAGTAAGTATTTCATGATTATTTCCTTCGAGCTTGAATGTGGCTTGAAAGTACCCGTCCGTATTTCAGAGAACTGCAAAGCTTTATTCCCGAATGTCCGTTTTGCGGTAAGCGGACGAAGGGTTTCGAAGATAAGATGTGTCACGTCAAGAGCTGTGGTCGGAAAAGAGGCATCACTGTTGATAAACAACTTGCTGCACTTAAACTTCAGCAAAAGCAAGTTGCCGAAGTTAAGGAACTAGGAATCCCGTCCTCGAAACTGAAGCAGCAGCAGCTGTCACCGATTTCTCGAAAGAAAACTTCCAGTAGACAGGTCCGTATGTACCCCAACTTCGTTCACCATGAAGTTTCATTTTTATTATCTCGTTTAACAGAAAGTCGAGGGTTCCGATACTGATCTTCAAACCGCGCTGGCACTCTCCGCATCATTACAAGAAGCCGTTTGTGTTAAACAAGAGACTTCACTGCCGTTTCCGAGTGAAACCGTTGTTCAAGGCCCTTCGGTTCGGAAAATTGGAAGGAAGGCTGTAAAAAAGTGAGACGAAGGTATATTCTTAGATTGCATTATCATTGTGTGATATTTTTCGCAGATTTCCTCTGGTTCAAAGCAGTGATGAAGATAGGCGCACAGCGGTGATCCAGCAGATTTCAGACATCATGTGTGAACAGCGAATCATTGATATTCCGCCATTATTAGCTGAATTTTATAATTATAAGCGTTCGAACGTGCGTGCCCCTTTGGTAAGGATTTCGATCTGATTGCGTAATTGTGACTTGCTTTGACCTATTCTTTTTTCAGCTGTCCGAATGTGCGAGCTCCCCGAAGTTATGGAGGATGAATTCATGTGTTAGTCCTTCAAATGGATCGTCACTATCTTATCTTGTGCCGGACTTCGAAGAATTCGCTACTTTTGGGTCGGATTCGTTGAAAGCTGGATTCCGGCGGTCACTGAATGTTCCCGGGAGGGATGCTACGTTTGTGAGTACAGAACTTTTATTATAGTGATCCTGAGGAAGAACAGCATCGGTACATTCATCTTGAAAAAATTTTGTCTGATCGCTTTTCTTCTGGCACCATTATTTTTGCATACAGTATTGCAGTTCGAAATTTATTTAATTGAATGTATGATTTAATGGTTTCTTTAGATTCATCAAAGTCAACGCGAAGTGGAAACCACTCAGGAGGTTTTGGCAAGTTTATGCGATGTCGAACATGCATGTCCGCCGCCTGAATTTACTGTGGAGGCCGCCGAAGACTTCAGAATTGCAGAATATTCTGCATTACGGAATCCTTTCAGCTGTCGCAATGGACAAACTCAACGGAAAAATGTCCTCTCGCGACAAAGTTGTGTGCAACCCACAACAGTTGTTCCAAAATTTGAAAACTCTATGTTCAACGGTCCGCCAACTGTAGTCAAGATCGAAAATTGCAGTCAGTCTGACAGTGATGATGCGGAAAATATTTGTCGAATGCCACGGAATGATAAAGCCTCGTTCGGGCTTTTTTCGATACCCGAGACATTCCGTGAATTTTCGGCTCAGCGTTTCGTCGAAAATTGGATCAAATTCGGAAGAGATGAAGATAACGACGTTAAATTTGCTTCAAATTCAGGAGAATTACTCGGAATCAGTTCAGTTGTCCTCAGAGCACAGTGTCCTCAGCTCTTGAGAGATTTCCATCGTTCTTGCTCCAACGGGATCAGCAACGTTTTGACGGAGTATGAACCATCTGTGATTCGTTTTTTCTTCGACTTTCTCCTGACCGGGATTTTTCCGGAATGTGGAGAAACAGTTCTTTCAAAAATTTATGAAATCAGTGTAAGATTCGACTGTCCTCTTGTTGCGTGCGTTGATTTAAAACCGCCGGAGAATCGTACTGAGAAAACGTCTTGCACATCAAAAACCGAAGATGAGAATCGAGTGATCGATGATATATATGAAGTTATCTCAGAACTGAATTCAGAAAGCAAATCAATTCAAGTCGAAGAGCTTCCGGAAAGGCGTAATTTTCAAGAACACATCGACAGTTCGCCATGTATGGTCCGTCAAGAAATTCAGAGAAGCCCAGTCGAAAATGTCGATATTTCCATGTGTGATCCTCCGAAAACTCCTGTTCGTCGCGAAGTTGTTACTAGAATCCAAAGAAGCAGTACTCCGGACTTATTTGAAGATTCCGAATCCAATGATTCGTTTGAGGCCAACTCTCCTGCAAGAAGTCCAAGCAGTGAAGATGAATCATCGGAGAATCCGTCACAAAATTTGTCTTATGTTCCGGATTCTAACGTGGCGGGGAACGACGGTGAAATTAACGGGGCCATGGGTAGCCAACCTGAGGAAGTTTTATTTGAAGATGATTACGCCGGATTGGATGATTTGCATGACTGGCATTCGCCTGCCCCACCTCATACTACCGGTAATTATAAATTGTTGACAGAATTCTGTCGTGTATGAGCGTTGCTTTCAAGTGAAGAAGGGTCACTGTGTTTTGTTTAACAGACCTATTTCGTCCGTCTTCGTCTGTTCTTTCTTAGTTTACTATGTAATCCTGCATCCAAGTGCGACTAACCGTATTCCAGGCTAAATGTTTAAGGTACTTAGGATAGGTTAAAATCGTTTGGATATGTTGAGATTTTAATTCAGTTAGTGATGGCAAAGCAGAGGGATTCTCAAAAAAGTTGAACAATTTTGGATAAAGCATTTATTTCAGTGCCAAGCGCAAATAATTTAATTAAATCGATTCCCCGAGTAAGGCACGCACCCTATTTTTATTGACTGAAAAATCGAAATCCTGTACTTCTAAAGACACCGAGCATTTCAATTTGAATTGACCTTGAATTCAATTAATTACAATAGTTTCTATTTTTAATTTTGTAGGGAAATGTGTCCCAAAATTTCTCATTGGAATCAAGCATTATGTGCACCTAAATTTCAATTCTTTACCTTTCTACAATGTTCACACTCCTTTTTTTCTCGCATTTCAACGAAAAGTTGCTCATGTTAATTGAGTTAATACCGCAATTCCTTCCCATCGTATTGTCTATTTAACATAATTTTAATTCCAAAAGGGTACCACGATACAGTATTCTAATTTTTATAAATTCTTTGATGGTCTGTCAGTCAGCCACCCTAACAAAAAATGCTTGGCTGCTAAAACTGAAATCTTACGGCTGCTGCTTGATTCTTTTGAAAAAGAATGTTATGTTGGTGGTGTCTTTCATAGGTTATAAACTTATATTGTAATTATGGCTCTTCAAAATGTTCTAATTCTAGCATAACGTTATCTGGTATGGAATGCTTTTTCCCATCAGTAAAAACAAGCATTGCAATTGACGTTTTGGTTTCCCGCATCCGATCAACATTTTTATGTGGCTCGCAGAACTTCATAAAAAATCATCGAATAGTGAAGCTGCCATGGTTGCATGTATTATGCGTGAAAAATACATTCAAAAAGTACCGCACTGGAACCAGATGGACTTTTTTTTTTTACCAGAGTCTTCGAGAATTTCGCTTTCTGCTACCAAGACGCCTGAGGCTGGAGCAAGAATCATTGAAACCCCAATTGCCGGACCTTCAATCGCAGTTACGCCCGAAATACAGATGCGGAAACCTCGCAGTTCTTTGAAACGAAAAGAGCCGACGCCCGATTTTGACGCTATGATGACGCCGGAACTGCAGGTACGTTTGCTATTTTCCTGGAATTACTTATTGCGAATAACTCGTCGATTTCGTGTCAATTACATTCTGGTTCAGGCTAGGTTAGGTGCGATGGGAGTGCGGAAAATGTCGAAAAGCAAGTCAGTCAAATTGCTCAAATATATTCACGAGCAGTTGAAATCCCAGGCGAATGCTGTTGAAATTCCTGTTGGTCCCGTTGTCGAGTAAGTCGGACGTCAGGCTTTCGAGAATGAAAGCAAATATCTAGACGATGGCCCGAGATTAAATCTAAGGATTAGTTGAATTAAACATAAGAAAACTAATTATAACTTTTCTTTGGCGTATGTATAGAATTGATGAGAAATGTTTTGTCCTCTGTTCCAGACCGCTCCCTACTATTCAAGAGAGCGAAAACGGCGATGAATCTCCCATGGATACGAGTAAAGACTCTCTTGATGATTTTGAGTTAAGTACTCAACAATGTTCCACTCAGTCGACACAAGTCACTCGCACCCGGAAAAAGCGTAAGATATTGAATTGAAAGCAGCGAGGGAAATAATTCACCGACCGGTTCCTCGTTGCAGGGAAAATTGTCGATTTGGACGAAGCACTTCCGGTGGTGAAAAGTTTTATCCTTTCGAAACAAGACCTTCATTGCCAGATTTTACAATACGAACCTATTCATTTATTGGATTTGAAGAACAGTCTGGCAACTTCTGACGTATTTGTGGATGCTCCAATACTTCAGGATGTGCTTGACAAACTCGTGAGTTCGTGTGGCTTTTGTTTGATATTCGTTGTTCGGCGAAAATTTTCTATCCTCTCCATTTGTTACATTTTATTATATGCATTTTTTTCTGAATTTAAATCTATCGGTAAATTAAATAGAAATTTATTCTCGGAAAAGGAGCTTCCCTGGAAAATAATTTTCTCTTCATCCTAAGTGTCATCCTTAGATTCTGTTGATCCATCTTAATTTGTCTCTTATTTCAGGGAGTGATCTTCAGGATACCACGTTCGAGGAATCAAAGACAATGAAATCAATTGTGATCCGTCAAAATTGAATATATTGTGTATTTTTGCATTCTTCTTGTTTTTACGAAGATACTGTCAGCTATGTGTTTATTGAAAACAGACGATTATCGGTTATCTAGCATTCAAGTCGAATTGGTTTCATTCTTTCATTTTTTCCGTTGATGGTTTTTCATGTATTGAATGTTGTCTTATTTCAGCAGGATAGGTTGATTGAAATTTAAATAAAAATGTCGTCGAGCGAAGTTGCTGCGACAGACGCGCGTTTGCACGCAATGCAGTGTTTGAAAGGACAATTGCACAGTGCAGATCAATTGGAAAATGTGAATATTTTGAAAGACATCACCTGCAAGAAAAAAGCAGCAGTTGATGATATGCTGAAAACTGCTTTGAATGGCCAAGTGGAAGCCGTTCGTGCAGGTTTATCTGAGCTAGAGGAAGCTTTACAAAAGGTGGAGAGGTTGAAGATGAGGTGAGGTGCTAGAAGTTCTAGTTTCAATTATCTTCAAATTAAAAGAATTGGAAAATCGTTTCGTGATATCATTTATAAATATTTATTTCTGAATTTTAATGATCTTTTTCTTTTACAGCCGCGATAAAATTAGGGATGCTTTGCGTGACGTACCAAAGCTGGAAGAAGTTTTAACGCCGTTGAAAGAAGAGCGATCTCGTCATTCGCAATACGTTGCAGCTAAGGAAAATATGAGACATATTTTTACAGTTCCGGAATCGTTGGACAAAGCTCACAACTGGGTTGTGCAAGGAAATTTCTTGCAAGCTCATCAGGTATTGCATCGTTTAAATAGGATTCCATTCTTGCATTTTTTCGGAATCAGACGAACGTCTTTCAAGAGACGGAGAAACTCAATTCAGCACATTAAACGATCATTAATGTACTTCTGTCATTCTATTCGATTATCATTTATTTTCACTGCTTCATT